TTTGGGGCTCAGGGCCGGGGAATTCTGAGCTACACCCCCTTCCCCCCAGCAAATCGAAGTTGAAACACTGCAAAACCCCAAATTAAGTGGCGCAGCTGGCGGCTGCGCTCCCCAAGATCGATCGAACTACTGATCGTCGCCCATGCTCATCGCCTTCTGCTGGCGGTAGAGCTTGGCGACCTGCTGGTTCAAGGTGGTGAGGGGCGCGTTCAGGTCCTGGGGCGCGCCGAGGGGGCCAAGTGGAAGGGGGTCCGAGGGGGGTGCCGGCCCCGAGGGCTGGGGCAGGAGGAGGAGGCGGAGGAGCAGCAGCGGCAGCAGGATGCGGGGGAGGAGGAGGCGAGCCAGGAAGAGGGAAGGAGGAGGAGGAGGAGGAGGGGGACCAGGAAGGGATGAGGAGGAGGAGGATAAGAGATGGGAGGAGGAGGGTGATAAGATGGGGGACAGGACTGGGAGGCATTGAAGGAGGAGTTGGACTAGGACGAAGAAGGGAGGAGGAGGAGGGGGAGGAGGGGGAGGAGGAGGCGGAGATGGAGGGGGGAGCCCATCCGCCTCCATTCACCATCCTAGTGCCCCCACGCCTCTGCCCTCCTTTCCCCGCCCTCCTCGCTCATCTCCTCCGTTTCGCCTTCGGCCTCCCCGCTCTTCCTCTTCAAACTCCTCCTCCTCCTCCTCCTCCTCCTCCTCCGCCTCCCCCGCCTCCCCCCCCCGCCCCCCGCACGGCGCCCCCCGCCCGTCCTCGTGCAACGCCTTGCACTTCACCTCCAGCTCCGCGTCGCCGACCCTCTTCTTCAAGGCGGTCAGCTCCCCCGTGAGGAATTCGGCGTGGAGCGTGTCGCTGCTGATGATGGTCTTAACCTCCCCTCCCCTCTCGGATCCGACGGCCGCGGTGCCGGCCAGCCCCCGAGCCCGGGGAGAGTGCGGATGGGCGCAGGGGGAAGGGATCGAGGGCGAGGAGGAGAGGCGAAGCAGGGGGAGGAGGAGGTCCAGGAGGAAGACGAGGAGGTCGAGCAGGGAAGGGGCTGCGGGAGGAAGGAAAGGGAGGATGGGCGGGCAAGGAACGGGAGAAGGGGCTACGCACTGCAATAGCCGAGCCAAGCGGGGGCGGGGGGCCTCCCAGGGACAGAGGAAGAATCGAGGGCCCTGGCGCTAGCGTCCAGATCCGAATGCTCGGGGTCCCAGGGGGCCCGCGTGCGGGCCGAGAGAACATGTTATGAACCTCGAGGAATCGCAAACAATGATGGCTCCAAATAGGTGTCATATGTTTCGGGCATCCGAGGCCATAGCTCAAAGCAGCACTCGAGCACCCGAGCTTGCGTTTCATGCATTTTCGGAACAGAATGCGGATCTCGCCACATTTGCTATATGCGCGGCCCCTCCAATATTGGAGAGACTCTCGCGAAAACAAATTAGCGGCACTGCGCTCGCCTGCTCTTGGACTTGCGGGCAGTGGAGGGGGGCGTCTGACCCGCATCAGTTGTCGGGTCGATCGAGCCCCCGTCGACCGCGAGTTTTGCCTTGAGCGGGCGAGCGCACTGCAACGCGCAACTCGTCCAACTCTGCCTTACTCGAGCACTGGGCCGCCCGCGTCCTATCAGTCGTCTTCGTCATCGCTGCCGAATGCACACTTGGGAATGCTGAAGCGAAGTCCCCCGCCCTTGTCCGCGCCCTCTTTCAGCAATGGCTTGGCAGGGCTGACTGCTTTCGCCGCGGGTTCGCCTATGGTCTTGGCTGGGCTGATTGCCTCGTGAATGGCTATGGTCTTGGATGGGCTGGTTGCCTTGACCGGGCTGGCTGCTTTGGCTGGGGCAGGCTGGCTGCCCTGACCGGGCTGGCTGCCTGGGCTGGCTGCCTGGGCTGGGCTCGCTGCCTTGACCGGGCTGGCTGCCTGGGCTGGGGCGGCGCCTGCCACCGTGCCGCCGTCGGCCTCCTCTGTGCGCAATGCGCTGGGCCTTCGGAGGATCGCGGCGGGCTTCTTCTTCGAGAAGCCCTCCTCGCTCTCCTCAGCGTTCGGCTTGAAAAGGTCATCATCCTCTGCGTCGGCCGTGGTGGCGGCGGCGGGCTTCTTGTTCGCGGGGGGCCCCTGCTGCCCCTCCTCATCCTTCTTCTTATCTGCCCTCACGGCGGCGGCGGGCTTCTTCTTCGCGGGGGCCTGCTCCTCCTCCTCCTCCTCCCCCTCCTCCCCCCCCTCCTCCTCCTCCTCGGCCCTTTTATCGGCGGCGGCGGGCTTCTTGCCCGAGGGGGGCTCATCATCGTCCTCTTCCTCCTCCTCGTCGTCACCATCGCCTTCCTCGGCCTCCTCCGCCTCATCCTCCTCGCCCTCATCGCCCTCCTCGTCCTCGCCACCCTCGGGCTCCTCGCCCTTCTCGTCATCCTCGCCTGCAGCCTTGGCCGCGGGCTTGGCTGCTGGCCCTTTGCTAGCTGCCGCGGGCCGTTTCTTACCCCCCTCCGCTGTGAAAGCGGGCAGCCACTCCTTCTTTTCTTCCTCCATCCGCGCTTTCTCTGTCTCCCCGTCGGCGTACTCCTTGCCCAAACGCTTTAGCATTTCTATCGCTGCATCCTTATCCATGCCACCTCTGATGGGGCCCAAGTGGACCAGCATCGACGGCCTCTTCTGACCCTCTTCCTTTGTCCACAGCGCCAAAAACCTCTCCTCCTTCCTGGTGTACTCAGTTAGAAACACGAGGGGCCCGTCATTATGCATCCGCTGGCTCCAAATGTGGCTCGTGGGGCCCGCGCCGCCAGCTTTCCTTTTTCGGTTTAATGCCTTTCTGCTTCTCCGCCAACTTCCCCCAAGTGGGTCCTGGGACGCCCGCCCTCGTGCCATCCTTCCAGACCGCCATGGCCTCCCTCTCCTTGTTCGCCTCAGGCTTGTCCCACTTGAGAGCGTACTCGGGGCTGTCGCGCGGCTTGGCAGTGTCGACGCGGCACGCCGCCTGCCCTGCCATCAGATGGGGGGGGTGAAAAGCATATGACATGGATGGCAAGCAGGGGCGATGACTTACACGGGGGGGGGGGCCGAGCGACACAGGCGGGGTTGACAATCACCCGAGTCCTCAATCTGATATGCAATCCCATTGCTGCTCTCGCTGCTCCTCCCCCTCCTCTCCGCCAGCGTCCCCCCGTCGTATGTTCTATCTCCCCCGAAGGCCCTGTCCGCGTCGCCACGGCTGGATGAGCTTCGGGGCCCTGGTCGGAACGCGCTCCAGGAAAGGTCCGTGGGTCTGGAGATATCCGCGGCGAAACCCGCGAGCCAGATGCAGCCCGCCCTGCCCCCTCCAGCATGTCGTCGTCGAGCTTGTACGCGTGCGTCTTCTCCTGCGCTGCCCAGCCACGGGTGGATCGGGCGGGGGGGGGGAGGTGGAGGAGCGGGGGCTAGGATCGATCAGACCCTTGCCCTTCCCCTCCTTGGCAGCGCCGCTGTCGCCCTCGATGGCCTGCTTGATGAAGGGCTCGGTCCAATTGGGGCAGTGGGGGTACGCCCGCCTGCGGCGCGCGCAGTCGGGGTGCGGGTGTCGGGGATGCGCCTGGGGGTTGCGCGAGCCCGCCTAACCCGACCCAGATCACCCGCGACCGGCCACAGCGACGGGTGACCCAGCCCCGCCTCGAGCCGCGACCGGCCGTGACGAGGAGTGACCCTGCTTGGTTTCGAGCGCCCAATCGGGGGAGGGGAGGGAAGCGGAGCGGGACAAGGAGAGCGAAATGATGAGAAGGGGGAGGCGGAAGGTTGGAAGGTAAGCGAGATTGAAAGCGGGGGGTATCGGGGGATATGCCCTGAATGCGCAACCCCAAAGCGCCCCCGTGCACTTGGATTGTGATTTGTGCCCCTACCCTCCTAATCTTCAGAACGTTTTGTTGCACGTGCCTCAATGCGGCCCTGAGCATGAGCCCTCGGCCTTCGCGCCAACTCGAGGTTTGATCAGCAAGTTTCCATTTCTTTTCCTTCTCATTGGCTACGTCCTCGAAGGTCTTAAGGGCCGCTTGCTGTGACATCTGGTTAAGAGGGTGTAGGGCTTTTCTCACATCTAGCAACATATCAGTGTATTTGATGATGGCAATTGCATCCACGGGGTCGCCCATGCCTGGCTCGCACGTGAAACTATCGCTACTGGACAGGTGCCGACAGAGGGCCTCGCTCACACCATCGTCTTTCTCAAGGGCACTCAGGCGTTTCTTGGCAGGCTCCTCGGACATTGTCCGCGCCGCAATGCTCGGGCCATAACGAGCTGCGACTGCAATCGGGGGTGCGAGCCCCCGTCGCGCATGGAGATGGGGGGGCCCAGCCCGCAAGAGGGGCGATCAAGCAAAGGGGGGCACGGACGCAGAAGGGCGGGCGCTGGAGGGGGCGATGCGAGGGAGAGGAGGAGGGAGTTGTCTCAGGAGGGGGAGGGAATTTGGAAGCTAAAGTGGCAGGATCGGGCGCGGGAGGGCCATTTGGACGACGGGGGGGGGAGAGGGGGGGAGGCGCCGCCCGACCGGCCAGCAGGCGGGGTTCCCAAAAGAGGAGTTGGAGGATTACCCTCAAGACTCCAAAAAGAGGAGTTGGAGAATCTACCCATGGGGCTCCCAAGAAAAGGAGTCGGAGGAATGCCCGCGGGGCTCCGACCATCCAGGGGACTCCCAAAGGAGGAGTAGGAGGATTACCCATGGGACTCCGAAGAAAGGGCGCATCTGAGAGCCAACCTCGCGCGCCGCCTGGCGCCTATATGTCCGAGCCAAACGTCGCGCCCTTCCCGGGCGTGCTAGCTGGGGCGCATCTCCAAGCCTACCTTCTCATAATTATTGGCTGGGGCGCATCTCCGAGCCAACCTCGCGCGATGCCCACTCTTACTCGCCACGGCACTCCCTGGTGGGGGTCTGGAGGAGTCAGCCCGATTAGGATGCAGGGCGCATCTTCGAGCCAGCTTCGAGCGCCCCCTAATTAATCGGCCTGAATGTTTAAGTGTGTTATTGCATCTGGCCCTCCGAGAGCCACGTTACCCCCCGTGCCCCCATTGTTCGACTGATCACCCTCCCCCTGCATTGCCCGCTCGTGAGCGGCGTCGAAGTCGCCGCGGACCTCCTTGCCCTTCGCCCACTTCCAGGTCTTGTCCTTGTCCATCAAGGTCACCAGGGTCGTCGCCCCCCCACTTGCCGGCCAGGGGGCGGGGGCGGGCGGCGCGAAGCCCGAAACCCAGGAGGATGGAGGGGGAGGAGGGGCAGGGGAAGGAGGAGGAGGAGGAAGACGGCGATGAGGAGCAGGAGGAGGCGGAGGCTGCGGGAGGAGGGTGAGGAGATGGAGGAGGCAGGCGAGGATGAAGGGCACGATGTTTAGAGGGACAAGGCGGAGGCAGGAGGAGGCGTAGGAGGACGAGGAGTAGGATGACAAGCTGGAGGTGGAGCCCGCCCCTCCCGTGTCCCACCTGCGCGCTGACCTGCACGTAGCCCGAGCGCAGCTTCCTCAAGTTCGCCAGCCAGGGGGCGACGGTGATCTTCGGGGTCTTGCCAGCCGCACCGGCGCCAGAGCTGCCGTCGCCACCGCCATCGGCGCCGGCCTTGCGCTTGGCACTGCGGCGCGCCGCCCCCTCCGCTGCAGGGGCGGGCCTCTTCTCAGCAGACTCCGCGAGGCCTTCGTTTTTGTTGACCTGCTGGGGCGTCTCGAGCATGGCAACAGTTGGCACCTTCGAACCTGAGCCAGCTGCTTCCTCTGGAGTACCTGGCACACTCGGAGGTCCTGGGCTCGATGCCTTCGCGACCACAGGAGTAGCTGGAGCAGGTGGAGCCGCTTGCGGCACCTCTTGCGGCGGTGGCCCCGCGCCAGCGGCGGCGTCGACATCCATGATCGGCGGCGCCGCTACCGTCGGAGGTGATGGCGAAGTCGACGACCACGTCTCGAAAGAAGTCCACGACCTGGTCCACGCATCGCGGAGCTTCTGCGTCGTCCACAAGAACAAGAGGGTCTCCGACATCTCGCACCACTTGCACCAGATGCCACCCATGAGGATGCACTTCTGGCAATAGTTCTGCGCCATCCTCATCCCTGAGCGTCCGCCGCCGCATTTCCATGCCACTCTCCCCATCGTCATGTACTCTGCGTCCTTGATGTCGCTGACGGTATGGCTGTCCGACTTCGTGTACTGGCATTTCTTCTCCCACTTCTCAAATTCGCCTTTGGCCCAGTCCGCTCGGAACAACTTCTTGTTCACGTAACCCTTCGTGGCCATATAATCGCCCCTCAGCTTCTTGTTGGAATTCAAAGCTCGGTCCCATATTCCTCCCATGGGGTTGCCTTTCGACTTGTCGGCGCTGAACACGAACCCGCGCGCCTTCAGCTCAGTCCAGAGATCCACGTCGGGAGGTGGCGACTTGTCATCCTGCTGCTCCTGCTCAACCGTCGCTTCGTCCTTCTTCCGACTCTGGCGAAGGGTCTCGATCAGGCCGCTCTGGAAAAAGGATGTCATGGCGAACTCGCACTCGTCGGTGTTGTCGGGGTTCAGATCCCCCCTCAACCTGTTCATCTCCAGGTTGAGGGCCTCGATGAGATCCAGCTTGTCTGGCACCGACTTCCTCGGCATCCTGATTGGTGACGCGCCGTCCACCCCCGCCGCCAACAGTCCCAATGTTGGAGTAGCCACGACGCCGTACATAGTCTCATCCTCAATGTCGCAATCGCTGGGGTAGTCCTGCATAGCGCTGCCGTAGGGATCCGTCAGCGCGACGCTGGCCATCTCGTCGTCGAGGTACGGGTCGAACGTCGTTGGTGTCATCGGAGGCGGAGGATCACCCGCAAATGGAATGCGCTCCAGCGGGTTCGGGGGCTGCTTCAGACTCTTCTCCAGCCGCTGGCCCAGCTCCGCGTCATCCGACCCCCACTCCGAACTCAAAGAATTGCGCTTCCTCGTCTCCTCCATCTTGTCCTTCATCTCCTCCAGCTCTGCCTGCGTGCATGCCCCTGGGCACCTGTCCGTCAGCGTCGGGTCGCAGCAGGCATCGGACGGCGTCGCCACAGAGCTCAAGTCGAGTAGGGGCGACCTATAACTTGAGGACTGAGGTTTCGCGGACTCGTCGACGAGCGGCAACTCGACATCGATCACGACCGCCTGCTGGGCCGAGAAAGACGCGCGCGACAGCGCTAAGGCAATCTCCATCTGCGTGTCGTCATCTGTCAGGTCTGCAACCTCCGTCATCGCTGATTCAATCTCCTTAGGCCAAGTGGCGTACTTACTGAGCTTCTCAGCCAACGTGTCTTCGTCGTCATCGCTGCTGCCGTCGTCGGCTTCGGTGGAGCGGTCACTCGTGTCCCACTGGCCTATCGTAGGATCTGAGCCGCTGGGCGCGTCGAGGGTGCTCGGCGCTGCCAGCCTGGCCCCTCCCTCGGGGCTGCCCTGGCCCTCTGCGGCGCTGCCAGCCTGGCCCTCTGCGGCGCTGCCAGCCTGGCCCTCTGCGGTGCTCATCTGGCCCTCTGCGGTGCTCATCTGGCCTTCTGCGGTGCTCACCTGGCCCTCGATGCCGGCCTGGCCCTCTGCGGTGCTGACCTGGCCCTCTGCGGTGCTGACCTGGCCCTCTGCGGTGCTCATCTGGCCCTCTGCGGCGCTGCCCTGGCCGATAATGCTACCCACCTGGCCCTCGGCGCCGCCCTGGCCGACGACGCTGCTCACCTGGCCCTCGGCGCTGTCCTGGATGGCCATGCTCTCGCCGACGTTGCTGTCCTGAGCGCTAGGGGGGGCGGAGGGCGGGCTGATGACGGAGGTGGAGGAGGAATCGGAAAGGGGCCTTCAACCACACGCCCCAAGACTGATCATCTTGTGCCCCCCCTGCTGCACCACGCCACTGTCGGCGGATATCCTCGACCTCCTTCTCCGACTTAAACGATGAGGCGTGAACGGAGGAAGCGACGACGACGACGACGACGACGAAGAGGATCACGATGAGAAGGAGGACACCTGTCGTTTACGTTCGAGAGCTGATTTGTACTCCTTCACAAACTGTCGCTGGGCCTTCACGATCGAAACTCTCATCTTGTAATATTCGGGCGACCTGTGCCTCGGCAAGTTGATCGGATATTGGTTGCTGATGATTTTCGGCTTGATCTGGGGGGCGATGGGGCAGGGCACGGCGGCAGGGTTTTAGGAAGGGGGCTCGGGGGAGGACACGGGGGAGAGGGATAAGGATCAGGGTGCAGGATGAGGAAGACGATAATCAGGATGACGAAAAGGAAGGGAAGGTGCGAGGAGGTGGAGCGGAGAGCTAGGGCGATTAAGCGGGAAAAGCAAAAGTTTGCAACGAGGCAACGGGAAGAGTGAAGGGAGGTGGAGGAGAGAGACGGTGTCCTCGACCGCCTCGCCGATGGAGTCGAGAGCGTTGATCAACTTTAAGATGCTGCCCTCCTCGGGGGGGCCCGCTCCGAATCCGACCCCCCTCCCTCCGCCCTCCCCTCTCCCCTCTCCCTCTCCGCCTCTCCCTCCTCCCTCCTCCCTCCCTCCCTCCCTCCCTCCTCCCTCCCTCCTTCCTCCTCCCCTCCCGCCGGCCGCGTCTCCTCGGCCGCCACGGGCGCAACGCCGTTCCCCTCCACCTGGGGAAGGGCGCGCGCGCCCCGAGGCCGCGAACGCGACGACGAAGAATGACGAACGACGACGACGACGACGACGACGACGACGACGACGACGAGGACGACGAGCCGACGACGAGTCGACGACCACGATGACGACCACGCCGCCGACGACGACGACGACGACGACGACGATCACGACGATCACGACGACGACGACGAAGACGACGACGACGACGAATGACGAACGTCGACGACGACGATGACGACGACGACGACGATGACGACGACGACGAATGACGGGCGTCGAAGACGACGACGACGACGACGACAGCGACGACGACGACGACGACGACGACGACGACGGTGGCAGCGGCGGCCACTCGAGGAGGACAACGACATCGACAGCGACGACGACGACGACGTCGACGACGACGGCGAGAGCGACGGCGACGACGACGACGGCGAGGGAGGGACGGAGTTGGAGGGGGCCACCTGCGACATGCGTCGCGAGCCCCCCCAAAAATTGGCCCTGATGCCAAAGCCTTAAATGGCTTGGGCCGCGGCGGCGACGCGCGCGCCGCGGCCCTCCGCGACGCCGAACGGCAGATGATGACGACGACGACGACGACGACGACGACGACGACGACGACCACGACGACGACGACGACGACGACGACGACGTGACGTCGACATGACGACGATCATGATGGCGACGTATGACCAGATCACTTTGCATAGGTTTTTGAAGGTTTGCCATCATCCTCATATAAGTGTTATGTGTTTTTAAGAACAGTATGAACCGATCTTACATATGTAAGAACATATATTCCCGATATTAACGCAAGATCTTGGGGACCTGCGGGAAGGACCCAGACATTATCGTCATAAGAAAATGACGAGACGACTATGTAAAAACTCCGCTGGCCCAGCGGGCCAGAGATGTCCTATAATCTCGAGTAATAATTCCACAATGTATTCCTAATTCCCGCGCGCGGGGCTGCCCCTGCTCAAACGATACGTGCGATTCAATTCTGAGGTTGTTGTCATCTTGGGCGCCGTCCCGGAGCGCTCCAAGCTGGCCCCACATGGGTGGCAGGCTCCGCGACCTCGGGCTACAAGCGCTCGAAGACGGCTCAAGACGGCCCCAGGAAGGCTTCAAGATACAACCATCAGGTTTCTGGAGGGTTGCAGCATCCTCGTCTTTTCGCACTTCCGAGCGCCCAAGACGGCACAAGGGGCCTCCAAGAGGCTTCTAAGAGGAACCCCGGACTGCCCAAGAGGGCACAGGAGGCCCCAGAAGAAGGCTCAAGAGGGCTCCAAAAGGTCCCCAAGGGACCCCCAAGAGGTCTCGAAGAGCCCAACGGAGGCTCCCTGTCCAAAAAGATACCTCCTGAGAGGCGTCAAGACGGCCCCAAAAACACTCCAAACAGGCCCCATGAGGTTCCAAGAATCTCCAAACATGCCTCCAAGAGGCCTCCGACAGACTCGAAGAAGCCTCCAAAAATACGCCTCGTCTCTACCACCCTGCCGCGCTGGGTGGGCTGGTAGAATGAGCGAAGCGATGGGCATTCGTCAGCGTTTTCCCTGGGAGATGCGACCAGGCCGAAAGAAAGTGGGACAGCGGTGCCTGCCCCCATGGCGTGTTCATTTGAAAAATAATTTGCCATCGGAGAACTGTCGAATTTCCAAGTCCGTCACCTTGGACCCTGGGTCCATCACAAAACGGCCTATGATGACACATCTGCCCTCGGGATGGTTTGAGAATTCCGCGGGGCCATGTTACAGAAAGGGTTCCACGTCCTTTTCCTCCGCCTCCTCCTCCTCTTCCCAGGCTTTCGGGAAGCCCTCTCGTCGATAAGGTTGGGTGCTCTTCAAACCTCAGATCGGAACGCGCTGGGGGAAGGGACGTGGAGTGCGAGGAGGGGTAAGTAATGGCAAGGATGAAGAGACTGGAGAAGAACAGGTACGGAACGGAGGGTGGAAAAGGAAGGATCGACGCGTAGATAGTTTGAATTATCCTTTCGGGCTCTCTGGGAAGGACGGGCTTCGCCACCAAGGCTGGATTCGGCCCAAGGCCATTACGCATCTGACCACGTCCCCGTCGACTCTAGTTATCACCCCTCCCCCTTTCCTTTAGTATCCCTCCTCAGGCTCCCCATTCCTATCCCCCTCGTCGTGCCTCTCACGACGCTCCCACCTGTCATGTTCCACTTGTTTCTCCTGCTCTATGTACCCTCTTTCCTGTTCTTCCTCCTCCTGCACAAATGCACAGCATGAATACTGCTCTCCTCAAGTGACGGCCGCTGCCGTCGAATATGTTTCAGGCGTGAACCCGTGCGCCCAAGAGCTCTTCGGAACCAGAGCGGTTATGGAACGAGGCGCGTCAGCGGCGGCAACTGGCTATCGGGGCCTCCTCAGGCCCGACACACATTACTAGGCCCTCGGGGCCGATCTACATTAGGACGATCGTAGTGAATTCCAAGACCCGTCCTCGACCGTCTGGCTACATTAGCTGGCCGCACGGCCAGTGAAACATGGATGGCTGCTGCCTGCAATCACACTCACCGGTCCGCCCATCCGGCGGCTCCGTCGGCTACCTGCCTGGTAGCTCTTGCGCTCGAAGGTCGCGAGAGCTCTGTCCTCGTCGTCGCTCCTGGAATCCACCTTGATCGCCGCGTCGTCGTCCTCCAGGTCGCCCTTCTCTTCCTTCCTGCGCTTCTCGGCCGCGCGTCTCTGATCGCCTTCTTGGTCAACGCGGCCTGGGCGCTGAGCTCCACTCTCGCGAACCCATTCTGCATCACGTCCGTCAAGTAGCCTCTCTAGGCGTCCAGCTCAGTCAGCGCGCCGGCCAGCTGCGCCGATGTGTCGCACCACCCCAGGTCAACTCCACCTTGGGGCAGTAGCTCGCGCAGCGCCGCGATGACCACCCGAACTCGGCGATCTGCAACTTGCCCTGGATCTGCTAGGAGATGAGTAACCAGACAATTGGCATCGTCGCACCACTTCGCCGATATCAAGGTCGCCACGTCCTCGACGAGGTCGCCCAGTGGCTGGTTTGGAGCGCTCATCTCGTAGTGCAGTGCCCAGATCCAGCCCGGCGCCTCAGCCCCTGCCGTGAGTCCGTGGGCTTCGGCCCCCATGGGCGCACAGCACGCCCTCCTGAAACTGCCCCAGTCGAGGATGCGCGCCGGGAAGTTCTTGTCGCCGCACAGGCCGTCGCCCGTCAGCAAACGCACGACAACGAGCTGTGATCTCACCTTCTCGCCGAGCTCGCCGAAGGCAATGTCGCCCACGTTGTTGGGGCTGCTGTCCGCGAGACGACTCCGCGGATATCTCCATCGCCATGTAGCACGTCACTCCGGAAGAGTATGTATGTATCGCGCGTCTCTTTGCAATGCTTCGCGAGCTCGTTCATCTCCACCAGGTGCTGAACCGTGAACTGGCCCCTGCACTGCGCCAGCCAGCTGTAGCCGAAGGAGACGTCCATCCGCAGCTGCCGAGACGGCCAGCCGAGCGAACCAATCACCGACTCGGCGTAGCTCATCTCCTCGCCCGCAGCCGAAGCCTTTACCTGCTTCGGGCGGGCTGGCAGTAGCTCGATACCCTCCATGGCGTCCGCGTCAAGAAGGCCGAAGCCTGGTCCACGTCCTTCCCGCAGAGCATGAATGGTGGCTTCTCCTCCGTCAGCAACAACCTGCCTAAGCTCGTCGGTCGCGCCCTTGATCAGCTTGCTCTGCGGATGTCCGGTCGCGAAGAGGTCGTCTACAGAAGTGCCGGCAAGGCCGACCAGCTTGCCGCTCTCGAGTGGCAGAAAGAAGGCGCGCTCCAAGCGGCTCTGTTGCAGCGAGTTGCCGCGTTGATTCCCGCGTAGCTTACTCCACCACTTCCTCCCAGCGCCCTCGGCGCCGTGGATCCCGCCGTGGCAGGTAAACATCGATCCTCCCGGTTCGCCAGGTGGCACTGGGGAAGGTGGACGTAGCGCCAGCATCCGGTCGACGTCGTACCTTGACGGTAGGCACTCGTCGCATCAAGCTTGGACAGGGCCCAGTGCTTCCGCGCCACCGCGCTGCAGATCAGGTGGGGGGGGGGGGCCAGGAGCGAAGAAGTCGGGGAGTTCGTTCGCGCGCGCACCGACTCGTAGCAAGCGACTGCCACCAG